CACATAAATGGAATACAGCATATGTTCTTTCATAGCTGGTGACTTTCGTGCAGCGTAATTGTCTCCCAGTCTCACTCATGTCGCCCTCACTCACTCATTGTCTCCTAGCCTCACTCATGTCATGACAGCTGACCAGGAGACTGTCTCTGGTGTTTACACCTCCATATCCCACTATGTGTTTCATCTTCCCGTTGCCTCACTGGAGATCCAAGTGCAGAGAATGCCTCACATGACTGTGATCCCTAGAACTTCATCCTGATGACTGTTGAAATCTCTGAGTTTTACCAGTGGAAATGGCAATAAACAGAAACATTCCAGAAGGTCCCCTAGGGTCCATATTTTCTGTACTTCCTCTCTAAAATATGTAAAATCAATTCTATTTGCTCTTGCTTTATATGGGGTAGATCTATGACTGCAGCATACACCCTAATGCCCTGTGTTGGCAACTTATCCAGTATTGTATTAAGTCTAAATGGTCACATGCTTATCATATCGTTTCTTCCAATTTAATAAAACAATTGTTATGTCAACTCTTTGGATTAAGAACCATCAACCAGAAAACCACAGCCCTGAGAAAACAGAAATCGAGTATTTCAAGCTGTTCAGTTGGTATACCAATGATGAGTCTACAGCTCATTTTCCAGGTATAAATATTCTGTTTATGGGAGTAAAAGCACCAATCACAGTTAGTGTTTCAGAGCCTCCACCACATCTGACAGCATAGCAATTCAACAGCACAAGGGTTTGTGTGCCAGCTTTGCTTGACGGATAATGGTTTTTTCCCTGTCTATAGGGAAAGCTGCACCTGTGCTCATGACAAGAGCATGAGCTATATTTTGCCTCACTTTTTTTGAGTTAAATAAGTTGCTTGATCCAGAGCCATATTATGGAAGAACTTCCTGACTCTGATGAAAACACTTTGAAAATCTTTAAATAGTATTTTATGCAGAAGCATATCCGAAAAGGAAGGCAAATTCATGTAGAGTAAAATGACCACTGCCATCTTCATGTTACAAGAGGTCCACTGGAATCACCCGATACCAGCTATTAGTCTGAGCCCTGATGTGTGGTACAATGTTAAGGGTTCTGGTGGGATCCGTTTTCTCAGCAAATTAGGTGTTCAGAAATGCCAGTAGCCCTGCACATCTCAGTTAGTTGAAACTCATGTTGTTGAGTTCCCACGGGGACCTCCATAACATTGGTTTGTGAGACTCTTTGGGAAAGCTGGGAAAGGTGACTGACTGAAGTCCATGTGTTGAATCATCCTCATTGTTAAAAGCCCCTGCTCACTAATGGTATTTGAATTAATACTCACTTGGAAAGCTTTTTTTCTCTCTATTATGGCTCATTTTTGAAACTTCTAGTCATAGCTCTTGCAGAATGACTTTGTCTGAAATCATACGGTTGCCTTTCTTTTAAGGCCTGATGATCTGTCAAAACCAACAGCCAGTATTATTAAATTGCTGTTCTCTTGGCAATGTGATCATCAGATGTAGCCCTTGCAGTTTACTCATTGTTACGGTTTTTACATTTCCAGGGCTTCCTTGACAATGGCACTGATGTGACTCCATCCAGCGTCCATTGTTGTGAGAACTCTATTTGGAATATCATCATTGTGGGTATGAACATAATGGAGACTTTCATGGGATGCCATGGTTAATATTTAACATTAGTCAAAATTTTCTCTAGTCCTACCCTTGGAGCTCTACTGGATTGGAAAATATTTTAGGTAAGGATAACCATTTGGTAAAGTTTTAAAAATAAAGGTTACAATGAAATTGTCTGTAGCAAGAGTATGAATTATATGTCGTCCAGAATACCATTTTTTTGTGGAATGTAACAACAATTATTTAAATGTATATAATTCAGATAATATTTTATAAATATATATATTGCATATATAATAGAATGAATGTACTTAAATATGAATACTGTATATATTTGTAGCCAACATTTTATCAAATAAATATACATTCACTTCTATGTATCTTAAATATATACACACATTTTTCCATAAATAAGGTAAATTTTTATTTTTTATTGAAATACTAATTCGTTTTAATTTTGTCTTTTTCTCTTAATAACTTCATAATTTGATTGTTAAATATTCAGATTCATACCACCAATTTAAGGAAAAATACATATGTTTATATAGGTAGGGGTGTAAATACTGTATCAGGAAGTATTTATGCATTAATTATTGGTAACTGGGTAAATACACAACTCAGTGGCTGATAACAGTAAACATTTGTTTTCATGTTCATGGATGCTCATGTTCACAGTCATCTGGCTGATCAAGGAAGGGCTCTGCTAGTGGTTCCTCTGCAGGGCACTGAGCTTGTATTCAGCCTGTAGATAACAATTGTTTAATGACAATGCTGAACAGCAGCGACTACACATGACACAAGATTCTTTTGACAGGTCACAGGGGAGATCACCCTTCCAAATCAAACCGCACAGTTGAATTAAAGTCCAATAATTTCTAACACAGCTTCATGCATTTTAAAAACATTCCTTTATTTCAATGAGTAGAAATTTTCAAGAAAATGTTACTCCACTTAATTGTAGAGGTGTTTGATCATTCCATGGACAAATAATTATGTTTTCAAGCTTTAAAATCCTGAAAATATTTGCAAATGTAAGTTTGCATTAATAAGAAAACAAAACTAGATGTGTTGTCAACATGTGGCTTGAAATATAATGTTTTTCAATGGCCTTTTTAGGGGAAAATCATTTTAACTTCAGTAAATATCCCTCCTTACCTCTCGTGTCCTATAGAGTTGCCCAATAAGAGATCCCCCCGTGAGATTTGGAAGTCAGAAAAGGAAGACTCAATATTACCCATTGGTACCTAAGACAGGCACAGAGACAAAGGTGAGAGCTGGAGAAACACCTGGAAAAATATTCTAGGAAGCTGAGAACTTCAGCAACCCCAGACTTAAGCTTCCAGACAGGACTGAAGATCACATGGTTAAATAGCCCATACTTCAGGGGCGGAAGCATTCTGTTTTCTGAGGGAGCACCATGGAATCCTGTTTCTAATATCAACTTTCCTGAATACTGTATCCTTGGCTTTGAAAGGTTGTAGTGTGAACATTAATCATAGGAATTGGGTCATTCTGTCATACCTAACAAAGACAAGAAATCAGAGGAGAAAGACACTCAAGGTGAAAAATATTGTTTCTAGAATGCAATTGAAATAGGCTGTATTATCCCACAGAACTAATGTTTATGGTTTTTTGAATAAACATAGAAACTGACTCCCCTAGTCTTAAAACTCACGATAGTTACATCTGTCTTACCTGAGTTCTTTTTTCAGGAAACCAACCATCAGCTCTCCCAGATACTATCAAGGAGCTAAAATTTACATATCACTGAATCGGGACAGTGAGACATCAGAATCTTCACCCATTATGATTGCCTAACTGACCTCCTGCTTCCTGTTGACCAAATTTGCTTTCTTACCCCTCCATAATACTTGTTTTCCTACATTTCTTCCCTGCTATGTAAACCCCTAATTTTACTTAGTCAGGGAGATACATTTGAGAATGGTGTCCCATCTCCACGACTGTAGCACCCGATTAACGCCTGTTCCTTGGCAATGCTTGTTGTCTTAGTGATTGGCTTTCTGTGTGGTGAGATGCAGGATCTACACGAAATCCCTGGTATTTCAGTAACAAAATTCTCTGCAAGCTTCACTGCTTTGGCTTCTTGTAACCTGAAATCAAATTGATCCACAACTTCTGAGATAACTTGACATAATTCTAGGATTCACTTTGTCCACCACTGCTTACCAGCCTGAGCTTACCAGCTCCCAACCCTTCGTAGTGCGAATGAACTTTCTCAAAGAGTCATAGGTAACATTTACCTTTCTTCGTAAAATGCTAACTTTCTCTTTGTTTTTCCAACATACTGACGACCACTGAGATTTCCTGTATGCCCCATTTGTGAAATATTTCTAGGCAAATAAAACACTAAATTTAGAGATTCATCTCTACATTTTACTTAGACTTCAGTAGTTTACTCTAATTCTCTGTATTAAGACAATTCCTGCTGAGAATATCTATAGTGGCTTCTTCTGTGTTGTATGAAGTCCAACTGAAGCCATAAACTAGACTCCTCAGGTGTCATGATCTCTGTCTTTAGTAAATCAGGAGAGGCATTGCTATGTCTGTGTAGTTGGGGCTGAGAAAGAGAAAAGAATTAGGGCGTCGAAGTTACTTCATGTCTCCCTCTACCAACACCATCAGAGTGTGGCTGCATCTGAGGAACACTCTCAGCCCATGGAGGCATCAGAAGGAGCAGCTGGGGCAGCCCAGCCTCACACATCTGCTTCCCTAGGGGTTTATGTTCGGGTGTGTAACACTGTGGGAGGTGCACTGTTATACTGTAGACAGTAATAAGTTGCAAAATCTTCAGACTGCAAGCTGCTGATGGTGAGAGTGAATACTGTCCCAGATCCACTGCCACTGAACCTTGATGGGACCCCACTTTGCAAACTGGATGCAGCATAGATCAGGAGCTTAGGAGCTTTTCCTGGTTTCTGCTGATACCAATTTAAATAAGTGCTAATGCCCTGACTTGCCCTGCAAGTGATGGTGACTCTGTCTCCTACAGATGCAGACAGGGAGGATGGAGACTGGGTCATCTGGATGTCACATCTGGCACCTGAGATTGGAAACATAAAAACAAATGTCCACACAATTAATCATGTTGTTAGACAATTTCCCTGAATAGTGAAGCAGTACTCAGAACCCTGGGCTGAGTAAACTGCTAGTGTTCTCCTTCCTTACTTGGGAGCCAGAGCAGAAGGAGCCCCAGGAGCTGAGCGGGGACCCTCATGTCCATGCTGTGTCCTGAGTGGTTCTGACTCCTACATGAAGTGTGACCAGCCTATTAATAAGTCGCAGGGCAGGAGGATGTGCTCTGGGAACATGCAAATGAGCAGGGGATGGGGCAGGCTGGGCACAGCTGCAGGGTAGCTCATGTCAGTAACTCAGCACCGACTCAGTGTCCCCAGGTGTCCCAGGTAAGATCAGGGTAGCAGAAATTTGTCTGCAGAGAATGTGTTTCTACTGGGGACTATTTTGTTATGAGAGACATTGTTTAGATTTTTTTTTGACAATTTGAAATGTTCCTCAAAAGTCGATGGAGTAACATATTTCATTGGTGTATGGGGAGTATTTAGGAGGATATTCTTTTTCATAGGAAGCACATAGTAAAATTTTAGATGATACAATTCTAAGGTCTTTAAAGACTCTCCTATGATTCTGGTTAGGGAAGGGGATATTTGTTATACACTTGTATTTTTTTCTGTAAATTTATCATTGTTCCTTTCAAAAAAAATTGAAAATAAAATGTATTGTCATGATGCTACATATATTTGTAAGTATTAGGTAATGATGTTATTCCATTGTTCTTAGCAGTATAAGTTCAAACAATTTACTACAAATACACAAAGATGACACTGAATTTTCTCAATGCATGCAGCACTCACAGATTCACCATTATCAAGAGTGACAGTTCTCTTTAATACCCAGAGACTAAATGGGCTGCACCTTATTCTTGTTTTGGGCACCTTCATAGTCTACCTTCTTTTCTGCCATTGAGTATTATTTCCCAATGTTCATCTCTCTTAATGAGGGTGGCCACTGAACGGAGTATGTCCCTGCCATGCACCATCAATGACACTTTCCTCTTTTACATTTTATCAGTGACTGGGGACATCATTTTGACCCAGACACCAGCCTCCCTGTTTTTTTTGTTTTGTTTTGTTTTTTTTGAGACGGAGTCTCGCTCTGCCGTCCAGGCTGGAGTGCAATGCCCGGATCTCAGCTCACTGCAAGCTCCGCCTCCCGGGTTCACGCCATTCTCCTGCCTCAGCCTCCCAAGTAGCTGGGACTACAGGCACCCGCCACCACGCCCGGCTAGTTTTTTGTATTTTTTAGTAGAGACGGGGTTTCACCGTGTTAGCCAGGATGGTCTCGATCTCCTGACCTCGTGATCCGCCCGTCTCGGCCTCCCAAAGTGCTGGAATTACAGGCTTGAGCCACCCTGTTAACATCTTTAGGAAAGAGACAACCTTTTATCATGCAACTGCATGTACATGGAGAAATCAGTTGGATCCAGATGAAACTGGACAGGGATTTACACTCATTATATCTAATATCTCTAATGTGCCCAAAAATGTCCCAGCCAGGCTCAGTAGCAGAGGAAGTGGATCCAACAATGTCAGCATCAGTGGGCTGCAGCCTAGGGCTCTACAAAATTTTACTGATGCCTGACTAGTGGAGCCAAATCACAGTGTTGTAGCCTGTGCACAAACCTTCCTGCTGCTTTGTAAGCAGCACAAATTTCAAGAGAACTTGGTTATATTGGGAGAAAGGAAGAAAGCTCCATTTGTCCTCTAAATGTTTGCTGCAAATAAACTGAAAAAAGGAAGATTAATAAGAGAAAAGGCAAACAAAATTCACTTAAAGTGCAGTGGGACATCATCGCAGGGCGATGACCTGATAAGTCAATGAAATCCAGATGTTTCTATTTCTTTTCTAGGGAAGAGGGAATTGGGAAGTGTAGGCAACCTGGAGAGAATAGATGAGAATAGAAGCGCATCCTCAAGAGAACAGGTAATCAGCTGCCTGGTTAAAGTATCAACTTCCAGTCTCTTCTATTTTTGATTCCTGTTTTGTGTTAATCTTCACTGATAAAAATTCTTAGGAAGAATTTTCTTGACAATTGGTATCCTTCTGAAGAATTTGCTTTTAGGCAAATAAGGGATATTTAGGAAAATCTTTTTGTGCATTTGCTCCTTTCTAAATGCCTTTGGTCTTTCATAATCATCATACGAATGCAGCATAGTTTGAGATGTTATTTTCCGGATTCCTTTACTTGCAACCCACCTGCCAAGATGCTGTTCCAGAGAGATGCAGCTACAGACTGAAAGGGCAGTTGATCCCTGAACAACGTGGAGGTTGGGGCACTGAGCACTGGTGCAGATGAAAACCTGTGTAAACTTTTGCATCCCTAACTTAAGTACTAATAGATTACTTTTGGCTGGAAACCTTAGTGATAAAATAGTTGATTAATTGCTTTTTTAGTTATACTTATTGTATACTCTATTTTTCCAATAAAGTATGCTAAAGAAAAAAAAATGTTAAGACAACCATAAAAATCAGAAAATATATTTACTACTTATAAAGTACTTGCTCACAGGTGACACACACAGAAGAAAATATACGTGAATCTTCAAATTTAAAACTCAAGTTATTCTAGGGTTAACTGTACCATGATGAATGTAGCAGTCCCCATCTGTAATCTAGGGCTTTCCCCTTTGTTGTACCTGTGCTCACTTCTAGTGGCTGTATATATGTCTTAGGTTCTTTATGATCTTGGGCAGAGAGATCTGCCTGCCTGCCTTGCTGGCCAGATGCCTCGAATGTGTATCTCTTAGAAAAGTGCTATGGTTTGTCTATGTCCTCCAGTAACCATCCGTTGTAAAGCTAAATCTCAGTGTAATGGTATTGCCAGGTGGGGTCTATTGGGATGTGTTTAGATCATGAGGGTGGAACCCTCTAGAGAAATACACTAATAACACAATAAACAGAGCTTATTGGGCTGGAGTCTTTTTCTCTCTTCTGTTCGTCTGTAACATTAAGACAAGGCCTTTCTTTCTTTGAAGGAGTCAATGCTCCAGGCATCATCTTGAAAACAGAGAAAGCAGACCTTTACCTGCCCATGCCTTGATCTTAAATTTCCCATTCCTCAGAAGTGTGAGAAAATCCATTTCTGTTCTTTATGAATTACACGGTGACAAGGAATCTGTTATAGCAGCTTGAAATGAAACACGAGGGACAGCTCACAATCAGTGAGGACAGGATGAGGTGTATACATACCCCAGCTTCCTCATCTCTCCGGTGGAACAGCCCAGAGGAATTTAGTCCATGTTTCCACATGTGGGTGATCTTCATTTCTCCTGAGTCAGGTGAGTTGTTGATTTGTCTTTTACCATTCATCTTCTATTCCCTTCCTCACTTTCCTCCTTCCTCCCAGTGTAAATTTGCTGCCTAAATAGGAATCGTCATTGCTGGTGGACACGAACTAAGATAGTAACAAAAATTTTTTATCTTTTCTATGAGAAGTATTTCCCATCTTTATTCTTATCACTTCTCTCTCTTTGACATGTAGGGATATTCAGGAAGCATTTAATTTTTTTTTAACCAATCTATTTTAGATTGAATTTATGCAGGGATTTTTTTGTTGCTCTGTTTTTTAAAACAAAAAAATAAGTTGTAAGCCACCAACCAGCTGAACAATCTCCTCTTGTGGCAGAGATAGCTTCAAAGAAAACAGAAAAACTAGGTTAGGCCATGACTGGTAGGTGGGTTTAGATGTGCCTCATTATACTCTCTTCCGTTTGGAGTTCAGACACAACTGACCAGCATTATCATTACAATAGATCTTTAGACTGACAAAACAGATGCTTTGTAGCAATAAGGTAGCATACTCCAACATTACAGAGAATAGGCCCTGAAGAAAATCTAAATATTTTACCCCAAAAATATTTCTTCATCATATTCTGAAGTGGCCCTGCAAAGTTGCCTGTAGTCAGGGAAATTTTCATTCTTGAGAGAATCTCCTCCCCTTACTAAGTCTTTTCCAGAGAGTCTAACATTTTTTTTTTTTTTTAAACATCAGATAGGCACCATTCACCATCTACTTTGTCTGTTACCCACAGGATTCTTCCACATAACAAGAAACATGGCTTCCATGCTCCCTTATCTAAACTCAAGTATTTCTTTATGATAAATTCAGGTCTTTAGGCAGAGCTTAACTCTTTCAACCAATGGCCAGTCAGGAAACCTTTGAATCCATATATGACCTGGAAGTCCCTTCTTCAAGACATCCCACCTTTCCAGAACAAACTAATATATATCTCATATGTACTAATTTATGTCTTTCCTCTTAGTCTCTGTCTCTCCAAAGTGTTTAAACCCAACATGTAATCCTATCACCTTGGGCACATATTTGCAGGACATCCTAAGGCTGTGTCACAGGCCATAAGCTTTATCTTTGGCAAAATAAACCTGTAAATTGATTGAGACCTGTCTCTGATACTGTTTTGCTTACACTGGGTCACAAACTTAAAAATCCTCTAAAACTGTCTACACATCAATAAATCTACATTAGAGACAGTGGAGTGATCATACTTTAACAGTTAAAGCTCACAATTTAAAGGAACCTGAATCTCAGATTTGGTCCAGCTCTCTTTTTTCATAAAAATACTTCACGATTTTTTTAAATTTTACTTTCCAAAAGGACAATTTTGGGGAATACGTTATACTTCTGTATTTCTTTATACTATGTATCTGTTTATGAAAAAATATGTGATATATGTTTATATATAAAGAGAACTCTGATTGCTAGTATAAGGTATAGTTTTAAACATTAATAAATTGAACGTGAACATTGAAAATGAACACCAGGTGCAACACCTGAAGGCTCCTTTCTTACCACAGTCCCTGAGAATGATAAAGCTCAGGACCCTCTTCCATGTTCCTCTGGGCTGACAGCAGATAGCTGCCCGTTGCTGAGGATGATGAGTGACCTGATGTAGGGTGTGTGGAATCACAGAGCAGCAGATGCCCAGGAGATGGATAGTGAGTCTGGGCTCTGAATGGAGGGAAGTTTTTTCT